CAACAGAAGAGATACTGCGACCATCTAAAGTTATTTTGTCATCATTGGTGGAGTCTGCGTAGAATGTGGTAATGATACGCTACAACTATTTTGTTGCCCATGTCATTAAGTAACTGGGTTTACTTAACCAAGTTTTTATTATGGACTGAAACTGTATTGGCCGCCTTCTTTTTGATCTGGGTACTGGAAGCAAAGCCAGATTGGGCTGAAAGAATGCAGCAATAATAACTGCCACAACAGCAAAGTTCAGATTTTTCTATATGAAAATAATCAGCCTCAGAGCAATGAGGAGGAGATTTTTTTTCTCAGGAAATATGTCAGTATCTGTTCACAGAGGAAATGACATTTTATTATGGGGAAGAATGCCAATCTCAGATCATCGGGAAAATTGCCATTCTCCATTCTCACTCAGGTGACATTTCCCTGCCGGAAAATTGTCAGTATACATTTTTTGACCCTTTGTGGGGGAGGTACTTGAAGGAGTGGACCGATCTTCCATATCTTCGAATTTGACCTAGATTTGATAAAAATACGACGATGTGCAGAGTTTGGGTCAAATTGGATTTTTAAATATGGAAAATGTTGATCCTTTGTGGGGGAGGTACCAGAAAGCAGTGGATCAATGTGTCCCATTTTCGGACTTGACCTATTTTGACCCATTTTGTGGGGAGGTATTAGAAGGAGTGGGCCGATCTTCCATATCTTCGAATTTGACCTAGATTTGATAAAAATACGACGATGTGCAGATTTTGGGTCAAATTGGATTTTTAAATATGGAAAATGTTGATCCTTTGTGGGGGGAGGTACCAGAAAGGAATGGATCAATGGGTCCCATTTTCGGCCTTGACCTAGCATTAGTAAAGATAATAGGTTTTGCAAAAGTTGGTTCAAATTTCAGCAAAAGTTTGATTATTTTATGGGGGAGGTACCAGAAGGAGTTGTGCGATATTCCACATCTTCGATCTTAATCTATGTTTGGGAGAATTTATTACGATGTACAAAATTTGATGAAACCGGTTACACCCTTCCAGAGTTATCGTTCGCACCAGCAAACCAGGCAGACAGACACAAAAACCGACGGACGGACCGACCGACATTTATAAACTGGCTTTAAATTGTGTGAAAAGGAGTTGGTCTACAGAAACACAGGTTCTAATATTTCGATGAGGCACATTTTGTCTTATCAAAGAGTATATACCCTCATATTCCCCATCTTCGAACTTAATCCATGACCCTTCCAGAGTTATCATTCGCACCCGCAAACCAGGTAGACAGACAAACAAACAGACCGACATTTGTAAACTGGCTCCAAATTGTGTGAAAAGGAGTTGGTCTAAAGAAACATAGGTTCTAATATTTCGATGAGGCACATTTTGCCTTATCAAAGAGTATATACCCTCATAACCCTTAAGGCTGAGGGTATTAAACTTATTTCTATGGAAAAATTCTAACTTTAGTTCGCTGAGGAGGAGACATTTTTCTGTAGGCATATTTTTTGTCCCGATTAACTTTTGAGAGAATTATTATTATTATTAGGAAAATATTCCTTCTCATTTCAATCAAGAGAACATTTTCCAGTAGGAAAACTATAAACCAGGATTCTTCATGAGGTGACATTTTCATATAGGAAAAATGGCAGTTTTAGTTCTTATGTAGCCGACAGCGAAGTGAGGTTGAATATTTACCATAGGAAAATGGACTCAGTAAGCAGAGGACTGATCCTGCAAAGGATGGCAGTTTTAGTTCTCATGTAGGCGACAGCGAAGTAAGGTTGAATATTTACCATAGGAAAATGAACTCAGTGAGCAGAGGACAGATCCTGCAAAGGATGCTCTGGTCAAGGACTGTACAGAGGTACTTTGCTTCCAAAGAAGGTTCGAAAGCCTCTCAAGCCTAAGGACATTTTACGATATTTTGCGAGTATAACTTTTTTTATTTTTTGCTCGTTTGGCCCAAGACCCAAGTTTGAAAATCAAGAAACAGCAAAATGAAATCATTTTATAAATTTGTTTCAACTTGTATAATAAAAACAAATTTCGAATTTCACTCGCACACCATCAAAGTTCAAAGGGTTCAATATCCTATTTTTGTAAATATTTGTTTTTTTTTTTATAATTTCTACCTTGTTTTTGTGTAAAACAATTAATTGAATACTTGTGGTTGCTTTTCAAAACACACAATAATAACAACAACAAAACAAAACCTAAATTAAATAAAAGCAAATCAAAACACAATATTAAATTCTAAGAACTGTGATAACAAAAAGAAAGAGGATTATGAGATTTTGTTGTTGTTCTTCTTCTTCTGCGTCGTCATCATCATCGTTTTCGATAAAATAACCAAAAACAGTAGCAGAAGAAACAAAAAAGAAGCAAAGAAAAACAAATGAAACAACATGAAATCTGATGCTGCTGCTAGTGCTGTTGAAAATACCATTTAAACAAATTAAGTTTTATGAAGGCATTTTTACTATAGGACAATACATGCACAAACGTTATGTGCAGCTGTGTATGTGTCTTTGTCTGTGTGTACTTTTTGCTCAGTATGATATTAAATGCACTTTGACCTTTGTTAGTTCCACTTAAATGCGATGATATCTCAGGTCAAAGTAGAGGAATATATGAAATGTAGTTTTTTTTCAAAGGTTACAAGATTACATAAGTGTGTGTGTGTGTGTGTGTGTAATATTTACAGAGAAAAAATGTGAGATTTAAGTGAACTATGAAAAGAATTGTTTTTTAGAGGAAAAGTAGTTTTTTTCCTTTTGTATATCAACAGAAATGTTTTTGAGTAGTAGACATCAAAAATAAAATGAAAATTATATTGAGAAATTGTATTTAAAATTAAATTGATTTTATTATATAAACTTTTAAATGGCTTTACTAAATCTTGAATCTGCAGAGAATTCGTTTTCATGAAATATTTGTCATCTAGAAAAATGTTTAAACCATCTTATTTAAAGTCTCAAATTTACGATATTACATTATAGGATTAAGGTGACGTATACGTTGTGTAACTAATTATACGCACCTCATTTTGTTGCTATTCGGACGCGTTGGAATAAGAAGAATGAGAGGAAACTATATAATAAGTCTTTACTAAAATTAATTCGAAATTTATGAAGAAATGTGGGGACAAAAGGCTGTCAATCCGGTAAATACTGACTTGTGTTTTTATAGCCTTCACCACACTGTGGTACAGGGTATGTTTGTAACATGCAAAAGGAAACGAGATAGACACATGGTTCCTTTTGAGAATATGCATAGAATCACTTTCTGAGTCGATTTATGCATGTACGTCCTTTCGTCCATCCGTCCGTCTGTCTGTCCATGTTATATTGTAAACAAAGTACAGGTCGCATTTATGATCCGAATTGGATGAAATTTGGCACAGGTCACTTATTTGGCCCAAGGACGAACCCTATTGAAATTGGGAAAAATCGGTTCAGATTTAGATATAGCTCCCATATATAGTTTCGTCCGATTTAATGTAAATGGTGTAACAAAGTCCCTATATATCCTTCGATTTGCACGAAATTTGGCACAGAGTACTGAATTAGGTCTAGAATGATGTGTTTTAAGTTTCCTGCTAGAATGATGTGTGTTAAATTTCGTAAAAATCGGTCCAGATTTAGATATAGCTCCCATATATATTTTCGTCCGATTTAAGGTAAATGGTACACCAAAGTCCCTATATATATTTCGATTTGCAAGAAATTTGGCATAACGAACTGAATTGAGAGTAGAGTGATATCTACCAAGTTTCGTGTAAATCGGTACAGATTTAGATATAGCTCCCATATATAGTTTCGTCCGTTTTTATGTAAATGGTTCACCATTGTCTCTATATATCTTTCGATTTGCACGAAATTTGGCACATAGTACTGAATTAGGTCGAGAATGATGTGTTTTAAGTTTCCTGAAAATCGGTACAGATTTAGATATAGCTCCCATATATATTTTCGTCCGATTTAACGTGAATGGTGCACCAAAGTCCCTATATATCTTTCGATTTGCACGAAATTTGGCACAGCGTACTGAATTAGGTCTAGAATGATGTGTGTTGAGTTTCCTGAATATCGGTCCAGATTTAGATATAGCTCCCATATATATATATTCGTCCGATTCAATGTAAATGGTGACCCAAAGTCCCTAGATATCTTTCGATTTGTACGAAATTTGGCATAGCGTACTTAATTAAGTCTTGAATATTGCACGTTAAGTTTCGTGAAAATCGGTTTGGATTTACATATAGCTCCTATATAAATTTTCGTCCGATTTATTGTAAATGGTGTACCAAAGTCCCTATACATATTTCGATTTGCACAAAATTTTGCATAGTGTACTGAAATGAGTCTGGAGTTATGTGTGTAAAGTTTCCTGGAAATCGGTTCATATGTATGTATAGCTTCTATATATTTTTTTTTCCGATTTTATGTAAATTGTGCACTAAAGGCCCAAAGTTTGTCCGATTGCCATACAATTTTGTACAATAAACTGTAGTTAATATAAGTTAACCTCTGTCATTCTCATTAAAATCGGTTCAGATTTTGATATAGCTTCTACATATATATTTTCGTCCGATTTTACACAAAATTGACACAAATTTAGGTAATTTTCTCCCATTGTAAGAAGCAACCCTATATCTGAACAAATGAAAAATTTAGTATAGGTTGCAGAATTCGACGTCTGTTAGCATTCATCTGTTGAATATACCCATAGTGGTGAAGGGTATCATATAGTCGGCCCAGTCCGACTTTATTACTTTCCTTACTGGTTTTGTTGGGATATTCTCCCCAGAAGTGTTTTATTGCTTCTTTACAAAAAACCTTTCATTCCCAAATGTCTCTTGCGACAATTCGAAGTTTATTTATTGTAGTGTGTAGAAAATACAATAGTCGAAATTACCGGCCCAATAAATTTCTTTTTTACCTTCATGATTTGTTTTGTTTCATTTACTTTAATCTTCTTATTCTAATTTTTATTTCTTGTTCTACTTACTCGCTTGTTTCAGCTGAACTTAGATTTAATGATATGTTTGTTGATAGTTGTTGTTGTTGCTGCTGTTTGTTTGTGCCACTTGTGGCAGTTGCATAATTCGTAGATGCTGTTTGTGCCGCTGTGGCAGTTTTCAATAAATTGTTGTTGTTATTGTTATTATTATTGTTATAACTACTATAGGTATTGTGATACTGGGCTTGTTGTTGTTGGTGCTTCTGCTGTTGCTGCAACTGTTGGTGATTGTTGTTGTTGTTTACTTGTGCTTCCATTTGATGGTGCTGCTGCTGTTGCTGCAATTGTCGTTTTTGTTGTTGTGGCTGTTGATGATGTTGTTGTTGTTGCTGCTGTTGTTGCTGCTGTTGTTGTTGTGGCTGAAGCTGTTGATACTGCTGATATGTTAAATGACTGATTGGCCTTAAATTCAATTGATTATTATTAACATCATCATAAATGGACATATCCTGCTTCGCATAATAATCATCCAGCTCATCTAGATTTTCATTTGGCAACGTTGCCTCCGTTGTTGTTGTTGTCGTGGATGTGCTGGTTGTTGTTGTTGACTTTGTCGTCGTCGTTGTTGTACTGGGTGGTAATGAGGATCTGGCTTGATTTTTATTAATCGCTTTGTGATTATGATGTAGCATCATGGCAATTGGCTTTGCTGTTGTGATCGCCGCCCTCTGATGTTCATAAGGCTCATCGTCGTAATCATCCTCGCTTAGATCACGATCCAGGCCACCACTATCCAGCTCACCACCCTCATTTGATATGTAATAATCATTGGAATTGATTTTCTCCCGCTGGGCCATTAGACCCAAATCATCCGAGATATAGGAGGATTCATCATCACCATCGATAATGTCCTCATCGGAGTCTCGATTAAATGAGGATGAGGAGAGACCACCGGAGGAACCACCAGCACCTCCGGGAGATTGGCTGTTGCCTATGTGATTATCATCGGCATTGTCATTGGCCAATTTGGCACTAAACGATGCTCCTTTTTGATACAGCACATCTTCGTCAGATTTGCTGTGGCCATCACTGCTGTTCGTTGAATTTATCACTGTCATAAAAATCCATCACGACCATTAAAGCGAGGGAGAGAGAGAGAGAAAAAGGAGTAAAAAAGAGAACACACGACATGAGTTCGTGATTGTAAGTCATATCAATGATATATCAAAAGGCCATCTAAAGGGGGTTGGCGAGCGGGGCACAGCGCGGAATTGAATTATATCCAAATGATAGTTAAGGGATATGGATAATGGCGTGTGTGCTACACACGTCCTCCCCTCCCCAGCCCCCTTAGAGCATGACGACAAACAACTTCGTATTTGTATTTTATTGTAGTACCTACCTTGACAGCTATAACCATTTTTATTGAGTTCATAACCTTCGATGCAATCACATTCGTACATGCCATCATGTATTTCATAGCACAATTGTTCGCAGGGGCTCGTGTGGCCACAGTGTCCTAGAAAGATACCAACAACAACATGAAAATAATCACATGAAAGAAATCGACATCAACAAAAATGTTCTACAGCAGTTCCGAAAAAAGCAACGGAAAAAAACAAGGAAATAAAAATTGATTGCCACAAAGTAGTAATGGGAGAGCTAGTAGAGCAGCAAAATTCAAAGGGGAGTATTTAGAGGGGAAAAAACAAAAACGGAGTTATAAAAAAAGAAAAACTAAAGGATATAAAAACAAGGATTTTTTAAAGGTCCCATTAAACCGAAGATTTTCAGAGAATATTTTTTAAGGGATACCAACAAGGCGTGGATTTTTAAAAGAATATTTTTTGAGGGATACCAACAAGGCGTGGATTTTTAAAAGAATATTTTTTGAGGGATACCAACAAGGCGTGGATTTTTAAAAGAATATTTTTTGAGGGATACCAACAAGGCGTGGATTTTTAAAAGAATATTTTTTGAGGGATACCAACAAGGCGTGGATTTTTAAAAGAATATTTTTTGAGGGATACCAACAAGGCGTGGATTTTTAAAAGAATATTTTTTGAGGGATACCAACAAGGCGTGGATTTTTAAAAGAATATCAAACGATTTTTTAAAAAAATCCTTCCGGCGCATTTTTGAATAATATTTTTTTAACGTCCCTCAATTGTCAATTTTTAAAAGTTTTTTTCCGAAGACCCTCTGGGATCAATTTTTAGAAGAAATTAATTTTACTATAGCGTGCATTTATTTAAATTGTTTTTTTTTTAAGAAAATAATTTGTTTTATTATGTTCTTCATTTGTTTGTTCACAATTTCTACTTTAATGTAATTTGTCCTATAAATTACCACATTTTTCCCATGTCTATATACATTAACAATTAAATCCATCACGATTCATTTAACCTACATGTCAAATGGTTATACTACCACACACACATTCACCTACACGTGGCCGTGTGAGTGTGTCTGTGGGTTTTTTGACAGGTGTCCATTTACAATGAAATTTATCCATATTTAGTATTCCGATTCGCTTTTTGTGTCTCATTTATCTATTGGTATATCCTCCCTCATCGTTCAGCGCCCACCCATAACTGAACCGAACCGATCCGAACAGATGTAGCGACAAAGGTGAGCTACAACTTGTCTCCAAACAAATGAAATCTGTAACACATGTCCAGTTGTAATCTTTGACAGTCAAAGACCAAATAAAGAAATGTTCGGAATACTTCATTGGAAGAAGGAAAGAGGGCGATGTTTGCAGAGACCAGGTGCCGGAGGTGGTAGCATTGCTGGTATTGCAAATTTAGTTTCACTTCAGGCAAAGTTTCTCGGGGATGTACAGCAGCAGCATCATAAGGACGACAGAACAGACATAAAGACTGTGATAAATGACAATACCAGTTGTCCAACAATGAAGGAAGACAACATCACTATCTTTCTCTCGGTGCGGGTGGGTGTGTGTGTGTGTGTGCGAGATTAATGATGTAAAACTCCTGTCTCCGACTGATGTCGTATTGTTCGCTGGCTGGCTGGTTGGTTGGTTGAATGGTTGTCGGACTACTGCTGATGTTGTTGCTGTGCCTCGTCACACTTCTGTTTCCTGCATCTGAGTGTACAGCCAGAAACGGTAGTGACACACATCCGCCCTGCAGCATCCATGACACTGGGTTTGTGGAGCATTTTAAGATGCTTCAAAAGAAAAATTAATTTGTTTGATTTAATTTAAACACATAGCACGTAACGTATTACGGAACGTAACGTTATTATTTAAATGTTCGTTTGCTTGTTTGTTTTTCCATTCAGGGGAAAAATGATTCGAAGTGAAAAGGAAATACCTACATTTAAATAAATGTTAATGGAGTGCCAGAAAAGGGGTTGAGGCATTATTTGAAAATTAAATAAAAAAAATAAATTAAATAATACATTAACCTTTGTGGTATCCATCAAAAAATATACTTTTAAAAATCCACGCCTTGTTGGTATCCATCAAAAAATATTCTTTTAAAAATTCACGCCTTTGTGGTATCCATCTTTTAAAAATTTACGCCTTGTTGGGATGTCTAAAAATATTCTTTTAGAAATTCACGCCTTGTTGGTATCCATCAAAAAATATTCTTTTAAAAATTCACGCCTTTGTGGTATCCATCTTTTAAAAATTTACGCCTTGTTGGGATGTCTAAAAATATTCTTTTAGAAATTCACGCCTTGTTGGGATGTCTAAAAATATTCTTTTAGAAATTCACGCCTTGTTGGGATGTCTAAAAATATTCTTTTAAAAATCCACGCCTTGTTGGGATGTCTAAAAATATTCTTTTAAAAATCCACGCCTTGTTGGGATGTCTAAAAATATTCTTTTAAAAATCCACGCCTTGTTGGGATGTCTAAAAATATTCTTTTAAAAATCCACGCCTTGTTGGGATGTCTAAAAATATTCTTTTAAAAATCCACGCCTTGTTGGGATGTCTAAAAATATTCTTTTAAAAATCCACGCCTTGTTGGGATGTCTAAAAATATTCTTTTAAAAATCCACGCCTTGTTGGGATGTCTAAAAATATTCTTTTAAAAATCCACGCCTTGTTGGGATGTCTAAAAATATTCTTTTAAAAATCCACGCCTTGTTGGGATGTCTAAAAATATTCTTTTAAAAATGCACGCCTTGTTGGTATCCCTCAAAACATATTCTTTTAAAAATCCACGCCTTGTTGGTATCCCTCAAAAAATATTCTTTTAAAAATCCACGCCTTGTTGGTATCCCTCAAAAAATATTCTTTTAAAAATCCACGCCTTGTTGGTATCCCTCAAAAAATATTCTTTTAAAAATCCAAGCCTTGTTGGTATCCCTCAAAAAATATTCTTTTTGAAATCCACGCCTTTGTGGTATCCATTAAAAAATATTCTTTTAAAAATCCACGCCTTGTTGGTATCCCTCAAAAAATATTCTTTTAAAAATCCACGCCTTGTTGGTATCCCTCAAAAAATATTCTTTTAAAAATCCACGCCTTGTTGGTATCCCTCAAAAAATATTCTTTTAAAAATCCACGCCTTGTTGGTATCCCTCAAAAAATATTCTTTTAAAAATCCACGCCTTGTTGGTATCCCTCAAAAATATTCTTTTAAAAATCCACGCCTTGTTGGTGTCCCTCAAAAATATTCTTTTAAAAATCCACGCCTTGTTGGTGTCCCTCAAAAAATATTCTTTTAAAAATCCACGCCTTGTTGGTATCCCTCAAAAAATATTCTTTTAAAAATCCACGCCTTGTTGGTATCCCTCAAAAAATATTCTTTTAAAAATCCACGCCTTGTTGGGATGTCTAAAAATATTCTTTTAAAACTCCACGCCTTTGTGGTATCTATCAAAATATATTCTTTTAAAAATCCAAGCCTTGTTGGGATGTCAAAAAATATTCTTTTAAAAATCCACGCCTTGTTGGGATGTCAAAAAATATTCTTTTAAAAATCCACGCCTTTGTGGTATCCATCAAAAAATATTCTTTTAAAAATCCACGCCTTTGTGGTATCCATCAAAAAATATTCTTTTAAAAATCCACGCCTTTGTGGTATCCATCAAAAAATATTCTTTTAAAAATCCACGCCTTGTTGGTATCCCTGAAAAAATATTCTTTTAAAAATCCACGCCTTGTTGGTATCCCTGAAAAAATATTCTTTTAAAAATCCACGCCTTGTTGGTATCCCTGAAAAAATATTCTTTTAAAAATCCACGCCTTGTTGGTATCCCTGAAAAAATATTCTTTTAAAAATCCACGCCTTTGTGGTATCCATCAAAATATATTCTTTTAAAAATCCACGCCTTGTTGGTATCCCTGAAAAAATATTCTTTTAAAAATCCACGCCTTGTTGGGATGTCTAAAAATATTCTTTTAAAAATCCACGCCTTGTTGGTATCCCTGAAAAAATATTCTTTTAAAAATCCACGCCTTGTTGGTATCCCTGAAAAAATATTTGTTTAAAAATCCACGCCTTGTTGGTATCCCTGAAAAAATATTATTTTAAAAATCCACGCCTTGTTGGTATCCCTGAAAAAATATTCTTTTAAAAATCCACGCCTTGTTGGTATCCCTGAAAAAATATTCTTTTAAAAATCCACGCCTTGTTGGCATCCCTGAAAAAATATTATTTTAAAAATCCACGCCTTGTTGGTATCCCTGAAAAAATATTCTTTTAAAAATCCACGCCTTGTTGGTATCCCTGAAAAAATATTCTTTTAAAAATCCACGCCTTGTTGGTATCCCTGAAAAAATATTCTTTTAAAAATCCACGCCTTTGTGGTATCCATCAAAATATATTCTTTTAAAAATCCACGCTTTGTTGGTATCCCTGAAAAAATATTCTTTTAAAAATCCACGCCTTTGTGGTATCCATCAAAAAATATTCTTTTAAAAATCCACGCCTTGTTGGGATGTCAAAAAATATTCTTTTAAAAATCCACGCCTTGTTGGTATCCCTGAAAAAATATTCTTTTAAAAATCCACGCCTTGTTGGTATCCCTCAAAAAATATTCTTTTAAAAATCCACGCCTTGTTGGCATCCCTGAAAAAATATTATTTTAAAAATCCACGCCTTTGTGGTATCCCTGAAAAAATATTCTTTTAAAAATCCACGCCTTTTTGGGACCTTTAATTGTTTTTGTAAATCCATTTTTGTATTTAATATTTTAAAAACTTCTTGCTTGGCGTTTCTCGAAAATAAATATATTTCAAATAGAAAAAAATCTGAATACATGTCCTTATTCATCAATAGTGTATCTTATTTCTGTGGAAACCTCCCCTGCTTTTCTTCCTTTCTTGAATTAATTTGCGTTTGAATTTCATTGGGTTTTGTAACTAAAATTTCGATTAAATGAAACCTGAACTACAAACAAAAGTTCTATACAATTACTAAGTAAGCTGATTTTGCTATGAAAATCCAAAGCACACAAACACCCGCACAACCATTTACGAGATTAAATTCAAACTCAAACCGCACTCACACACAAACATACACAAACACACAGAGAGT